GGGGGGGGGGTGGAGGGGACCAGGGCACAAGCCAGCCCAGGGCCTTTGGTGGCCTTGGCCAGTGGATCTCTCTAGACGTGAAAATTGCTCTGTCAGCACCAGGGAGTCCCTTCTGCTTGGGGTCCTGGGCCCTCAGCATACGGCCCTCATGGGAAACGTGGACACTGTCTTCATTCCTGTGGGGACAGCTGCCTTCCAGATGGCTGCCCCGAAAGCAGGTGCTGGGGTCCTGAGTGCTGAGGAACACAGTGAATGCTGGGCAGGTCGCAGGGTCGTGCCGGGGCTGGGGCAGTGGCCACTGCTTATCCCACAGGGCACTGGGGCTGCAGTCCTCCCCCAGGACGGCCTGGTGTAGCAAAGGCCTCACCATAGACATGATGACGGGACCATCTCCTTGAGGGCGGACACTGGACCCAAAGCTGCCAGTCCACAAGAGGGCGTCCCTTTGACCCTCACAGCCCTGCCAGGCCAAGGTCATCTCCATCCATACAGATGAGGAGTCAGGAATCCAAAGAGTTAAACACCTTGCGCAGCCATGAGGTGCAGAACTGCGGTTCCTAGCAGTGTGCCAGCCCCAACCCTGACTCCAGGCCCTGTTGCCCCCTCCCCCCCCCCAGAAGGAGGGCACTGTCCACACGCCAGCCCTCACCCTGCGCCCTCGCCCTGGGTGAACTCATCAGAAGCCACCCTCCCTCCCTCCCTGTGATCAGGTGCCAGGCTGGCTTCCTGCCCTTTGTGACATCCTTAGGCCAGTGGTTCCCAGATAAGGGGGCAGAGAGCACCTGTCAACCTGCCGCCCGGGCAAACTGCAGTGACCCCAGAGTGGGGTTACTAGAAGTCAAATGCCTGCAACAGAACTGGAAAAACTTAATTTTTCTTTACTTTTAAATCATTATTATTATTATTATTATTATTATTGGTGGGAGCTCTTGCCTATAAGCCCTGGGGCAGGCGACCCGCAGCATCTGAGGGGCAGGGCCTAGCAGTGCCCAGAGCGTCTGGCATCCTGAGCTCCAGCCCTGCACACTGAGAGGACATGTCGTAATTTACAGGACCCCTCCTAGACATTGTCCTGCCCTGAGATGTGCCATGAAAATGGGAGGAGGGAAGAGGCTAGGGAGGGATGGAGGGAGGGGCGACCCCTAAGGCCTGGGAGGCTGGGCTAGGGAGGCCCTGGTGTGAGCAGCCCCGAGAGCCTGTCCAGCACTGCAGCAGCCCTGAAAGAGGAGGCCCGGGGCCGGGCTCCCAGGTGTCCCCGCAGGTAACACGGAGGTGGTAGGGGTCAGTTGGTCCTCCAGCTTGTCCTCCTGGCTTCCTCCCCAGGGGCAGTGGGAATTTTATTTATAGTTGATGGGGCCCTGGTACCCTCCAGCGAAAACATGCTTCCCATGTGGGCAGGCTGCTTGAGAAGCCAAATTACTAACTTACAGTGAGAACGAGACTGCTCAGCCCCGCCTGCCAGCCGCCTGGACGGCCCCCGGGAGGCTGGGTCCTCATCATAGCTGCTTGGACAGCTGGAGTGGGAGCCAGGGCGCCACTGTGGATCTGAAGGTCCGGCGCCTCCTTCTCTGTCTTGAACATGTCACCGGCCTGGGTGTGGGGCTGGGGTCAGCACCCACAGGGCCTCCTCCGTGGCCCTCTTCCCGTTCACCAGCCCCTTCCCGGAGACAGGCTATGTGGCGATGCGGCTGGGCCTGGCAGGATGGAGCCAGCCCCGGGCACCTCTCTGCCCCTTTCTTCTCTGCCCATCACTTTGTGGTCACATGCAGTGTGCAGAACCCCGGGGCTGACCGGCGCTGCGGGCTGGCCTTGCACTGAACCCGTCCCCTGCGAGCACATGCAGGGGCAGGTCGCCCACGACCCCGCACCCTCTGCTTGCAGTGGACCTGACCAGCATCGACAGGCAGAGCAGAGAGCAGGAAGCGGCCACCCGGCAGAAAGCACAGTCACTGGCAGCCCTGTTTCAGGAGAAAGTGCGCGACTTCGACGACTTTCTGTGGAGAGCAGAGGCCGGGGAGCCAGGCGTGGGCCCTTGCTGCAGGAGGTGAGGCGGGGCGGCTCGGGCGGACAG